CCCCAAAACCCCAAAACCCCAAAACCCCACATGACATTAATTTACTTAGAATTAAATAGCTCAGAATAAATATAAAGTATTAATCAAATGATTGTTTCAGGCATAATTATTGAATAGCAATATCAACTAGTTATATAAATTGGGAGAGGGAATTATGGGTCTGTCTGGGAAGCGATTCATATTAACAAGAAAATTTAAGTTGCTATAAAGTTTGTAAATAAATAATTTTATATTAACTATAGACTTAAAATAAAGAAGAATTTGAACTAGAGAGAAATATCATTAGATTATTTCCTTACAACCCTCTAAACCCAATAGGTATAAATATTACCCTTAAAATTATAGGAATATCCTAATTCATTGGTGATGGAAAATACGGCGAGCATCATTTCATTGTAATGAAACTAATGGGTTAAAGTCTTCAAGACTTTTTGAAAAAGTGGAGAGAAATATTTTCACACAAAACTATTATACAGATAGGTGTATAGCTTGTAGGCTTAAATAATAGTTTAATACTGTTGAAATAGGTGAGAAATTTGGAAGAGTTGCACAACAAAGGTTATGTTCATTAAGATATTAAGCCAGACAATATTGTTCTGAGATCAAATGATTTTAGCAATTGTGATTCATCTTTTTTCTCTATCATAGATTTCGGGGTCTCTCAAACTTATTCTGATAAAAATGGAATACATTTGGAATAATCTACAAGAAAAGATTTTCAAGGGAATATTGCTTTTAGCAGTTTGTGGCAAATGGAGGGATTAAGTAAACTATACTCTATTTTAATCTCATATAGCTCCGAGTAGGAGAGACGATCTAATGGCTCTAGTTTACATATTGTTATTTCTTAATGATGCATCACTTCCTTGGTTGCAAGTGAGGGAATCAACAAAGCTAGAAACTTTTAGGAAAGTCAAAGTTTTAAAGAAATAATTTCACAGCGCCTTGTAATACACTAAATTGAGTTAAAGTAAATCCTAGATTGTTTATGTTTAAAGATCCATTTGCTGGTCTCTTCAAATACGTTGATTCCTTAGGATTTAAGCAGACTCCTGACTATGAATTATGCATTAAAAAAATAGTTCAAGCTCTAGGAGATGATCAAAATATAGATTGGAAAATGGATTGGTCTTTTGATGGCTTAAAATGGGATCAGACTTATCTTAGTAAAGCACACATCTTCAAATAAGTACTGACTAAGTAACCTCAAAAAAAGGAAGATTTGAATAGGAATAGTATAGTTTCTCTAGAATAAACCTGCAAAACTTAAACATCTAATTAGTCATTTATGTTATCTCCGTCTTTAAAATAATAAAATAAATCAATTAAAACAAAAAAAATCCTGTAAAAAACATTTGACAATAGCTTAGACCCTAATTAGTTCAAAATTTCCAAAAACTATATATCTTTGTTAAAGCAAGATCTATAAATTATAGAAGAATACGACTTTAAAAAATAAGAAAACAAAGATATGAGAAATCAATAACATGATTTAGAATTTAAGTAAAATAATTTCAGATGTAAAAAGATAGTGAAATTCGAGAAATTTTATGATTCAAGATAAAATATAAGTCTGCTCGAAGCCTTATAAAATTAATTATAGTAAGAAGGAGAGAAGGAAATTAAAGAAGAATAAAACATTGATAACTGTAGTAAATATTTTTCAGCCTAAGTCAATTCAAATGAGAAAGAAGTATTAAACCATAATGGAATGGCACCTATACATGAGATAAAATAAAATTCAATTTTAATTAAACCCAAATTCAAACAAAAGGCAGAATTTAGTGAATTAGATATCCTTCACTTGAAAAAACTTAGTTAAATCATTTAAATTGAGCTAGGTATAGACGATTCAGAATTTTTAGAGGAGGATATTGATGAGGACTCATAGGCTTTTGAAAGTCAAATCTAGACATTATTTGAATACGCTAAATTAAACTAACAAATTAATGCAAATGACATTAGAAAAATATCAAATTGAATCATTGTTGTGATTTGATGATCCTATTGATAAACTATAGAACTAACAAAGTTATATTATTCCTTTGATAATATTTTTTGCATAACCATTAAAAATTTTTTAGTTCTAATTTTAAACCTGTGGCTAAACAATTCGGGGTTTTGGGGTTTTGGGG